AGTCACCACCTCCTCGGCCACACTTTCCACTGTCATTGCCACCGTGGCTTCCTCGCCAGCAGGCTACAAAACAGCCTCCCCACCTGGGCCCCCACCCTATGGAAAAAGAGCCCCATCCCCAGGGGCCTACAAGACAGCTACCCCACCTGGATACAAGCCGGGGTCGCCTCCCTCTTTCCGAACGGGGACCCCACCCGGCTACCGTGGCACCTCGCCGCCTGCAGGCCCAGGGACTTTCAAGCCAGCCTCGCCCACCGTGGGACCCGGGCCCCTGCCACCTACGGGGCCCTCCGGCCTATCATCTCTGCCACCGCCACCTGCGGCCCCTTCCTCAGGGCCGCCTCTGAACGCCACGCAGATCAAACAGGAGCCAGCAGAGGAGTATGAGACCCCTGAGAGTCCAGTGCCCCCACCCCGCAGCCCCTCACCCCCTCCCAAGGTAGTAGACGTGCCCAGCCACGCCAGTCAGTCTGCCAGGTGAGTGGCCAGGGTACGGTACAGGTGGGCCTGGAAGTGGGATCTATGAAGTGGCGACAGTAGCACGGGTGGGGCCTTGGTTCATGTGATGTTTTTTTAAAAAGTACACTCTCCTCCCTCGCTACGTTCTCATGGCCCTTGAGGAGGGCAGCAGCTTCCAGCCTGCGGGGCTGGTTTGTAGGGTGGGGCCTGGCCGCCGCAGGCAGCTCGCAGGGGCTGAGCGAGCTGCGTCCGCGCTTGCAGGTTCAACAAACACCTGGACCGCGGCTTCAACTCGTGTGCGCGCAGCGACTTGTACTTCGTGCCGCTGGAGGGCTCCAAGCTGGCAAAGAAGCGGGCCGACCTGGTGGAGAAGGTGCGGCGTGAGGCCGAGCAGCGCGCGCGCGAAGAAAAGGAGCGCGAGCGCGAGCGGGAGCGCGAGAAGGAGCGGGAGCGCGAGAAGGAACGCGAGCTCGAGCGCAGCGTGGTGAGTGCGTCACGAGATGCGCCACCCGCCGCCTTTCCCTCCCTCTGCGCTGCGCAGCGCGGCTCGGGGGTGGGGGGGCCGCTTCGCCACCTGCCGGAGAGGAGGAGCCACTGCAGTCTGGCTTCCTAGGTTGGCGGAAGGCGTGCTCAGGAAGGGCGAATATCCGGGAGTTGGTGGTGGTGGGGTGGTGTGTGTGCAGGAAAGTTCCTGGTGGGCAGACTTCCAACCGGGTGAGGCATTTTGGCATTTAGCTGCTGAGACAAATGGGCAGCTTTGGACAAACCACCTCCTTCCATAACAGTCCCTTTGATTCCACTTCTCCCTGTACCCCACAGAAGTTGGCTCAGGAGGGCCGTGCTCCAGTGGAGTGCCCATCTCTGGGCCCAGTGCCCCATCGCCCTCCATTTGAACCAGGCAGTGCTGTGGCTACAGTGCCCCCCTACCTGGGTCCTGACACTCCAGCCCTGCGCACTCTCAGTGAATACGCCCGGCCTCATGTCATGTCTCCTGGCAATCGCAACCATCCATTCTACGTGCCCCTGGGGGCAGTGGACCCAGGGCTCCTGGGTTACAACGTCCCGGCCCTGTACAGCAGTGACCCAGCTGCCAGGGAGAGGGAGCGGGAAGCCCGCGAACGAGACCTCCGTGACCGCCTCAAGCCTGGCTTCGAGGTGAAGCCTAGTGAGCTGGAACCTCTACATGGGGTCCCTGGGCCAGGCCTGGATCCTTTCCCCCGACATGGAGGCCTGGCCCTGCAGCCTGGCCCTCCTGGCCTGCACCCTTTCCCCTTCCATCCAAGCCTGGGGCCATTGGAGCGAGAACGTCTAGCGCTGGCAGCTGGCCCAGCCCTGCGACCTGACATGTCCTATGCTGAGCGGCTGGCAGCTGAGAGGCAGCATGCAGAAAGGGTGGCAGCCCTTGGCAATGACCCACTGGCCCGGCTGCAGATGCTCAATGTGACCCCCCATCACCACCAGCACTCCCATATCCACTCTCACCTGCACCTGCACCAGCAGGATGCCATCCATGCAGGTGAGACCCTTACTTCCTTGCCCTCACCCTTTGGGGCCACCTCACCCCCTGGCATGATTGGGCTCTTTTGTTCCTCAGGCCAAGGCTTCCCTCCTCTGGTCTGGCATGAGCCTCTTTCTTGAGATTGCTGTCCTGATCTGTGCCTCCCTGACATTTCCCAGCTTGTCTCCTCATGCCCTAGCCTAGCTGCAGAGCTTATATTCCCCACACCCAGCCCTCTCCATAGTCTAGTATCCTGTCTGTGATAGAGGCCCAAGCCAGGGCCTGTGGAGGAGCACCACCTTTCTACCCAAATAGCCCTGGTCCCCAAGCCCTTCATAGACCTATTTTCTGCTTCCTCTGGATTCAACTCTTGTTTCTTGCCATCCTCTCCTTCCTTCCCAGCTTGAGGTGTTTCATGACCTCGATCTGCTCCATCTCTAGATCTGTAACCTAAAAAGGGCCTTGTAGCTTCAGTTTGGGTGTCACAGGTGATAATGAGCTGAGCTTTACTTACTATGCTCCCACCGTATTACTTATTGTCCAGAACATTGCCCAGCCTAGTCTCAGTCACGCTTATTCCAGGCTCTGTGCTTTCTCCCTCTTAATCACCTCTCTCATCCTGTCTCATTTTCTAAACTTCTTTGTCCTCTTCCATCTCCTTGAAGCAATCTACCTCTCTCGTTCTTTCTCAGACCCTTCTGGTAATTGTAAGTAATGTCCTGTCCTCTGTCATCCATGTCCCTACTCCAGTAGTATCTTGGCCTGTCTGTCCCCTAGGCCTCTAGTTCTTCCGTTCCACCTTTTTTCCACTTTGAATCTGTGTTTGCTTGTCTATCTCTCTTCCTAGGCTTGGATGCCTTCACCCAAATGCATGGTTTTCCCTAAACCTACCTTATGGTGACACCTTCCTTTTGTCTACCCTCCAGCCTCCGCCTCAGTGCACCCTCTCATTGACCCCCTGGCCTCAGGGTCTCATCTCACCCGGATCCCCTACCCAGCTGGGACCCTCCCTAACCCCCTTCTTCCTCACCCTCTGCACGAGAACGAAGTTCTTCGTCACCAGCTGTTTGGTAAGGATGGAGTTTGGGGTGGGGAGTTCTAATGAGAAAAGGACAAAAAAAGAAAAAAAGAATGTGGGTGGTGAGATGGGCCTAGATGGGCTTGGGGAGGAAAGAGGTGGTGCCTAGAGGAACTGGGAATGGGCATAGGAAAACTCAGGCTCCGCCCAAGAAAGGCAAGAGGTTTGAATCCTAATTCCACTCCACTACTGGGAACTTGCAGGACTGGCTGTGTTACCTTTTTCCTCTTTTTATAAAGTGGCTGACTATGCCCTGGCCTCGAGCAGGTACTCAGTATCTGTTAGTCATGTGTCCCTTACCTTTCTTGCTCACAGCTGCCCCTTACCGGGACCTGCCAGCCTCCCTATCTGCCCCAATGTCAGCAGCTCATCAGCTGCAGGCCATGCACGCACAGTCTGCTGAGCTGCAGCGCTTGGCGCTGGAACAGCAGCAGTGGCTGCATGCCCATCACCCGCTGCACAGCGTGCCGCTGCCTGCCCAGGAGGACTACTACAGGTACTACAGGGTGCCCCAGTGGACCATATCCACAGTGATCCTGGGATGGGCTGTGGGTATGGCACAGCAGGGCACTACACCCCTCTGGGAGGGAACCCCTCTTCCCCCATCCCTGTCTGTGAGAGGGGGAAGGTCAGGGTTGATCTCAGTCTCTTATCTTTGTGCTGTGCATTTCTCTAGTCACCTGAAGAAGGAAAGCGACAAGCCACTGTAGAACCTGCTATCAAGAGAGCACCCATGGCTCCTGCATCTGGACTTTGGAGGCCACCCTCCCAGCCTGCTACCCAGAGCCCAGGAGAGGGTGCCGCTCAGTTGCAGGGCCTCTGTAACTGGGCAGAGGGAGGGAGGAAGGGCCAGACAAAAAGCCAAGGCCCGTGTGGTGTGCAGCAGTAGGGAGGTGGCAAGGGTGGGGGACAGAAAGCGCACAGTATCTTGGACCAGGTCCCTCTTCCTTGTCCCCCCAGCTTTCCTCCTCCCCTGTATCCAACCTTCGGTGGCCACTGCCCCTCCCCCACCCCATTGGTGTGATTATTTCATCTGTTAGATGTGGCTGTTTTGTGTAGCATCTTGTGCTGCCCTGCCCCTGCCCAGTCCCTGTGTGCGCGCCCCCTCTGCGATGTATGCCCCTTGCCCCTACCCCACATTAATAATTTATATATATAAATATCTATATGACGCTCTTTAAAAAACATCCCAACCAAAACCAACGAAACAAAAACATCCTCGGCTCCCCAGGAAGATGACTGTGACTGGTTCTTTGCGGGCTGGGCAAGGGGAAGTGTCTCAGGGCAGTGGTTCCTAGAGAGAGCTGTGCCACCAGAGACTGGTGGGGAAGCTGAAAGGGACAGGACCTTAAGGAACAATGTCGGGGCCCTGAAGAGTTTGCAAGGGGATCTCAGAAAGAGCCCAGAGCTCTGCTGGAGACAGAACAGGTGACAGGAACAGGTGCCGGTTCCTTCCTGCTGCTCTCTCCAGAAGTTAAGATACTGGAGTCTGGGACTGGCCCACCTCTGACATGGTCAGGTCCAGGGAACTACTCAGACCTTGGAGGCGTTCCTGTTACTGGTCCCACTGCTATGAGCCACCAGAGTCCTCTGGAACAAGGCTTCAGAGTCCTGAATCCTTTGCAAGGAATAGCTTGAGAACCGGTTATGAAGCAGGGGTGGGGTGGGGGTGAGGTGAACAGTTTCAATAGGTCATTGCAATTACTAATTGGCTGGCTTACGCTACAGCTTGAGAAGGGAGTGGGTGATAATTTCAAACGCCTGTAAGGGAAGGGAAGAAAAATAGGGCATTACGCTCCATCGCCTACCAGGGGACAAGACCATTTTGGGAAAGTGCGAAAGCAGAGCTGGCTCTGAGCATTTATTGAGGCGAATCCCTGCCTTCGTTCTTAACAACAAAAGGGTCGTGACTGGCTGCTTTCTAGGCCAATCAGCATCGAGCTCATTTGCATAGGGCGGTATCAGGCTTTCACAAACTAGAAATGAATGATTTAAGTAAGTTCCTTAGGATACTGTTTTTCCTAGTGAAAGTTACTGTGTGCCTTGTTGCTTAGACACTGGTAGGAACGAGAAAACGCCACTCTGAGCTCACCCTCACCAACAGTGGAGTCATGCGTATCCCAGGTTCTCTCCAGGCACACTTTCGGTAGTGTTACAGCTCTTTTAGAATTTGTCTAGCAGGTCTTCCGGTCCTCACCGGAAGGCCCCCCACACAAGTTGTTTCTAACAATAGAGCCGTCTGCTTTGGGTTGAAACTGTCGCCTATCCTACCCGTGGTTTCGCGTCGGGCGTTCCGGTGCAGTGTCGCACGGAGCTCCGGGTTCGGGTTCTGAGCTGCGTCTCGAGGCTTCCGGCTACGGCGGATGCTGCTCCCCCTCCGCGCCGTCCGCGTTGGGAAGTGCCCTAGGTGGTGGCTGTCTTGTCCCTGAGCCTTTTTTCCCGTTCGCCCTGCTGCACGTGCAGCTTCTGTCGCCATATGACGTCCGCCTCGGCCCAGCCAGCGGCCCTGAGCGCTGAACAGGCGAAGGGTGAGAGTCATCCTGCCGGGGAAGATGCGGGTGGAAGATGCCGAGCGACAGCCGTGGCTACCTCCTCTGGGAAACGGGGTGGGGGACGCGAGGTACCGTCCCTTTTCTACGTGGGGTCCTTGTCCTCCTAGAGCGAGGGACTCGGGGCGGGGGTGAGTCTATCGGTTACTTAGGGCCCCAGTCCACTAATTCCCCGCCGTCTTCCCTGCGCTCTCTGCGGCACCCACCGCCCGCGTTCCCACGCCCACCCCGGGACGCCTCCCTGGGATGCTTCTGGCGCGCAGTGGTCCTGGCGGAGGTGATCCAGGCGTTCTCGGCCCCCGAGAACGCCGTGCGCATGGACGAGGCTCGGGACAACGCGTGCAACGACATGGGCAAGATGCTGCAGTTCGTGCTGCCCGTGGCCACGCAGATCCAGCAGGAGGTTATCAAAGCCTATGGCTTCAGCTGCGACGGGGAAGGTGGGTCTCACGCGGGATGGCGATGCAGTGGGTCAGGGAGAGAGGACTGGACCGGTGGGCCCCTAAGCGGACGTCTTCTTTCTCACCACACGGCGGCAGCCACAATCTGACTAACAGAGTTGGCACTCAGAGCCCAGGGTCTACCCTTGTGCCTGCGAAGTCCTGAGTGCATTTTTGTCGTTTCTGTACAGGTTCCATATCCCTCCTCCGAAATGCTTGGGGCCGGAAATGTTTCAGATTTCGGACTTTTTCGGATTTTGCAATACTTACATATACATAAATGAGATATCTTCGGGATGGGGCTTAAGTCTAAACATGAAATTCATTTATATTTCATATACACTTTACACACATAGCCTGAAGGTAATTTTATACAATAGTCTTAATCATTTTGTGCATGAAACAAAGTTTTGGCTGTGGCCTGTCACATGAGGTCAGATGTGGAATTTTCCTTGTGTGGTGTCATGGAGTGCTCAAATAATTTCAGATTTTGGAGCATTTCGGATTTTCTGATCAAGGCTGCTCAACCTGTAGTATTAATATTAATCACACTATTATTCCATTTTGTGATGAAGGAACAGACTCTAATAGAAAAGTAAGTGCCCAGGGTTACAGCAGAGCTGGACTTGAACCCTGTTCTTCTAGCTTTCAGTGAGATAACTGCATGACAGCATACTCCTGCAGCCCCTCCAGCGTGTTTCAGTTCATCTCTGAGGGTTGGCAGTTAAATTTCTTTGGTGTGAACATGGTGTTCCCCAGGGGTGTTTATCGATTTAGCCCTGTTGCCCCATAGCTCTCCTGTGTCTGGTTATAGACCTAGATTCGTACTTGGGGTTCCTGTGACTAAACTGAGAGCGAGAAGCACATTGGTTTGGGATTTTTTTTTTTTTTTTTTTTTTGAGACAGAGTCTCACTTTGCTGTCCAGGCTAGAGTGAGTGCCATGGCGTCAGCCTAGCTCACAGCAACCTCAATCTCCTGGGCTCAAGCGATCCTCCTGCCTCAGCCTCCCAAGTAGTTGGGACTACAGGCATGCACCACTATGCCCGGCTAATTTTTTCTATATATTTTAGTTGTCCAATTAATTTCTTTCTATTTTTAGTAGAGACGGGGTCTCGCTCATGCTCAGGCTGGTTTCGAACTCCTAACCTTGAGTGATCCACCCGCCTCGGCCTCCCAGAGTGCTAGGATTACAGGCGTGAGCCACCTCGCCCGGCCTGGTTTGGGATTTTTTCATTCACTGCTTCCCAACCATTTGTGCCCAGTGTAGACCAGGAAGTGATCCAAACCACGCAAGACAGAGGCCTGCACATGTCCTGGCCATAGGGGGAGCAGCTAGTAACTCATGCTCAAACCACCACCCCCTTCTCTGTCTTTGGCACAGTGGTCAACTCTCCATTCCCTCTTGCAGGTGTCCTTAAATTTGCCCGCTTGGTCAAGTCTTACGAAGCCCAGGATCCTGAGATCGCCAGCCTGTCAGGGAAGCTGAAGGCACTGTTCCTGCCCCCCATGACACTGCCACCCCATGGACCTGCTTCTGGTGGCAGCGTGGCTGCCTCCTGAGAGTTGGCCTTCCCCTGTTCTATTGCCAAGGAAGGGAAGACCGTGGTGTTCCAGAAGATAATAAATGTGCCTGTGGCTTAACCTTGGTGTCATCTTTTGTGGTCACGACAACCTCTGCCTCTCATTCCCAGATTCCCTCTGGGAATTCCCTGGCCAGATTCTTCCCTAAACTCCCAGCCCTGCTCTGTAAGGGCCTAAGCCTCCTGCCCTGCTCTCAGGGGAGGCTGAGAGGCTGGACTGGCCCCTCAACACCCTGGGGGGGGGGCCTGCACAGGTGGACCTCCTTCTCTGAGGGATTGGGCTCTCGGGGCTTTTCCTTAGGCCCCTTGGTTTCCGCTGACTTAGAGGTCCCCCATTGGTTGGTGTTCCCTTGGCCAGGGTTACTTCCTGGTCTTTGCTCCTACCTGCCCTCCTGCTGCTCTGTCACCGGGCTCCAGGTGGAGCTCCAGGTGGCTCCTCCCCTCCCTAGAAACGCGGCTCTGGACTGGCAGGCATGCCTGCCCAACTACTGATTGGGGCTGCCGGGGGAAGCTGGCTGCTGTGGGCGGTTTCAGGCCAGCCCCGCCCCACCTGTCCTTCCCTGAAGACCATTAGTCCAGGGGCTTGTCCCTGCAGTGCCATTGGCCTGGCAGGCTGGATTGAGGAGGAAGTGGCTGAGTTCTCAGCTTTTTTTCCTTACCTGGCCTGGGCCACTGTGCACAGCTGTGCCACTGGCTCGACCCCGCCCACTGTGGCCTTCTGCCTGTGACTGCCCCCATCCCTCCAGGGAGATGCTGTCCCGTGGGTAAGTCACTGCACCACCTGGGTCCCACTGCCTCCTGTTAGTTTGGGAGGGAGGGGCATGGCCATGACTGCAATCTGCTGCTGTCCCCTGCCCTGGGTCTGCTTCCTGTCCCTATGTACTTTTTCCTTCCCCCAAGATGTGAGGACCCCGAGGCTCATTCATGCCCCTCTGCCCCTTCTTTCCGTAACACTTTCCCCCTGACAAGTGTGTATCTGTTCTCACCATTGCATTTCTACTTCCAGCCTCTGGTACCCTACTTCTGCCTCCTTCTTAGAGCCTCTACCTGTGGGTAGCTTGTATCACCTCAAACATATCAGCCTGCAAGGCAAACCTGAGAAAGCGCTCCCATTCCCAGCCAACTTCCCCGTACCTCCCAGCACCTGCTTTGGTTCCATATTCTTTTAGTTTCCCTTCACAGTGTTGAGCATCTGTTCCAGGCCAGGTACTGTTAAAGATGCTGGTGATACAGGAATGAACAAGCAGGCGTGGTCCCTGCTCCCACCAAGCTTACATTCCAGTGGGAGGCGACAGACTGAGCACATAACCCTGATACATAGGGTCATTTTAGATTCTCAAAAGTGTTATGCAGAAAATGGAACCGCTTCCCGTGCTAGCAAGGGACTGGGGATGCCGGTGCCATTACTAGCTGGAGGGGTCGGGGAGGGCTTCCTGAGGAGGTGACATTTGAGCTGAGACCTGGATGAGGAGGAGGGGCCAGCCCTGTGATGTGATCAAGAGTCAAGCACCCTTGGGCAGAGGAAATGGCGAGCACAAGGCCCTGATGTAGGAACAAACACAAAAAGGAGAGGACACCAGCGCAGCAGAGGCAGGGCCGGGGCAGTCAGACCTCCTGGAGTTGGGATGCCGTAAGTGAAAGATTGTCAGAGTGTTGGTGAGTTTGTGAGCGAGTCCCCCCACTCCACCCCAGTCCTGCTGATTCTTGCTTGTCACTCTGCCACATCTGCCTCTGCCCCTGTACACACCTCATCAGGGCCAGCTAGGTCGACAGGGCTCTGCGTGGGTCTTCTGGTCCCTGATCCCTTCCACACTCCCGCCGTGGTCATTTTCCTACCGGGTGGCTTGGCAAGGCCTCCCCCTAGTGCAGACAATTCCTTCGTCCCTCAGCTCGGCCTTGCAGCTGGGTCCCAGCCTCTCAGGACAACTTCGCTTCAGCCACATGGCTCTGCTCACAGCCAGGCGCTGCTCATGTGGACTCTGTGCACGCCACCCCTGTGCCCCCACACTTGCTGCCTCCGGGGGAGCACCTGCTCTCTCCATCTTCCGTCCTGGGCAGGGCTGGGGCCCCCATCTGCCCCGCCAAGGCCATCTGCAGCAGAGCGGTGGTGTGGTGGGAAAGGCATCAGGCTCTGGCCTCAGATAGCCTTGGTTTGTCCTTCTCCTCACTCACTAGCTTGGGACCTTGAGCAAGTTACTTAACACCTCTGAGTTTTAGTTTGTGTTTCTAAATTGGGTGATTAACACCTACTAAATAGAGTTGGCATGAGGATTAATAATATAATGTAAAAGCTGGTGGCACTGAAACCCTACCACTTATCAGCTTTTCACATCAGTATTTGGAAATACTGTTAAGCCCATTTGTCAGGTGGGGATACTGAGGCTCAGAGAAGTTTAATAACTTTGTAGAGATTATTTCACCACGTTTGCTCTCCCAGACTGCCTATCTTCTGGTGTCACTGTTAATCTTGATCTCTACTTCTATCCTCCCTGCTTCCGAAGGGAATATTATTCCCTTCTGAATTATTAGGTACTTACTTTTATAACTCTTAGCCTCCCTTTGAAAAATGGGGAAAATAGGGTAGTCGAGGTGGCTCACGCCTGTAATCCTAGCACTCTGGGAGGCCAAGATGGGAGGATTGCTCGAGCTCAGGAGTTTGAGACCAGCCTGAGCAAGAGCAAAACTCTGTCTCTACAAAATATAGAAAAATTAGCATGTCTTGGTAGTGTGCTGAGGGGAGGCTGAGGCAGGAGGATTGCTTGAGCCTAGGAATTTGAGGTTGCTGTGTGCCATGATGATGCCACTGTACTCTAGCTGGGGTGACAGAACAAGACCCTCTCTCAAAAAGAAACAAACTGGGGAAAGTAATTCCTACATCACAGGGCTGTCTGAGCTCAGATGAGATTGTGTACTCACAAGTGCTGTGCAAACGCCAGAGTGCGGTGCCACAGTAAGGGGGGTGTTTTTTTATTTTCCTGCCAAAGGATAGAAGAGATTGTACATCTGAATTCTGTCTCTCTCTTGGCTTGATACCCTTCAGAGGAATTGCTGCCTCTCCCATGGGTCTGGAGTCTCTGGGTGCCTACTTAGTTTCTTCCCACCTAGTGGGTTTAAGCCCTAGAAGGAGAGTATCTCAGGCCAGAGTGCAGCGGGTGTTTGGTGGCGAGCACGGGCCTGAAACTTTGTGTGTGGTCAGGATCGTGTGTCCACGTGTGGATATTTGCACTGCACCAGGCATGTGTGTGGGTAGACATGGGTGATGGGGTGCCTGTGGTGGGACTGTGTGTGCGTAAATGGAACACTTATGTGTGCACACTCATCTGTATGTGACAAGCAGGCTGTGTTTGTGACCATGTATGTGCATGTGTATTGATAAGTTTGCTTTTTGGACACTTGGTGCCTGATGTGTTGCGAGGCTCTGAACATGAGCCTAGTGGATCTCTCTGTGGTGGAGCCAACTTTGCATATGCACTTCCTGCCCCTGGGCATGGGAGGGAGTTCATGGGCATTCCAGGTCCTTTAGGGCAGGGTCCAAACTGAAGGGGTAGTCAAAGTTGGACCATGCAGTAAACAGACTAAGCAAATTCCCCAGGGCACCAATAAGAGAGGAAACAATCCTCCCGCAAAAAGAGAGGAAAATCCTTTTGTGGGGTGGAAGTTGATGTTCGATGTTTCTTAAAATGATAAAGTAGTTGTTACGGGAAAATTAGACTTTTGTTGGGCTTTAGAATTTTGTTATTTAATTTTTTTGTATTTTTTATTGAGGTATAATATGCATAATGTGTGTAAATATTAAGCATGTAGCCTGATTGACTTCACATTTATACACATGCATGTAAATTGCACCCAGATCAAGATTCAGCATTCCCAGTACCCAAGAAGTTTCCTAGAAATTTCCATTTCCTAGTCAATATCTTTCTTTTTCTTTTCGTTTGTTTTTCAAGACAGAATCTCACTCTGTTGCTTGGGCTAGAGTGCTGTGGCATCAGCCTAGCTCACAGCAACTTCTAACTCCTGGGCTCAAGCAATCCTTCTGCCTCAGCCTCCCAAGTAGCTGGGACCACAGGCATGGGCCACCATGCCCGGCTAATTTTTTCTATATATTTTATATATATTCTGTATATTTTATACATATTCTATATATTTTTAGTTGGCCAATTAATTTCTTTCTATTTTTATAGTAGAGACGGGGTCTCGCTCTTGTTCAGGCTGGTTTCGAACTCCTGACCTCCAGCAATCCGCCCGCCTCGGCCTCCCAGAGAGCTAGGATTACAGGCGTGAGCCACCACGCCCGGCCGCTCAGGTTGGTTTTGAACTCCTGACCTTGAGCAATCCGCCCACCTCAGCCTCCCAGAGTGTAATATCTTTAATTTTATATAAATAAAATTTTTATAAAGGTAATTCATGCCTATCCTACAACATTCAAAAAGGTGTATGGGAGAAGCAAGTGTCCTCTTACCCCTGCCCTCCAGCCACTCAATTTTCTTCTGTAGGGGAAGCCACCAATATGAATTTCCGTGTGTCCTCTGTTGGCTTCTTTCCTTGTTTTGGTTTTGTGGTGCTGGTGTTTGTATTTGGAATTACATACAGGGAGCATCATACGCTTTTCGTGTTCAGGCCCTCTAAAGGGGCAAGGACTTGACCCCCATTCTTCAACCCCCAAGAGACAGACACCCTGGTCAGAGCCCTGGGGCAGGGCAGAGGCCTAGAGACAGGAAGTAGAAAGGGCCTGGATTCGACAGGGCTATAAAGGGGTCATTTTGTTCATCCCTCTGCCACGGTGGCATCTCTTCAGATGTGTATGTTGGTCAGGGGAGGGCCTCCTTCCCTCTGGTAATCATCTGCAAGACTATTAGGGAGTCTCCCTGTCCCACAGCAGCCCCTTTAGACAAGGAGTCGCTTGACTGCTGTTCTTTGAATCCTGGAGCGTTGATGTGCAGTAGTTAAAATCGTTGGCTTTGGGCCAGGCGCGGTGGCTCACGCCTGTAATCCTAGCTCTCTGGGAGGCCAAGGGGGGGGGAATTGCTCAAGGTCAGGAGTTCGAAACCAGCCTGAGCAAGA